GGAGTGGCGCGTGCATAAATAGGCGGTTTGTACAAAAGTGCGTACAAAAAGTGCGTGCATTCCCTACTCTCGAACGTGAATCATCGTAAAAGTGTGTTCGCCTGTTCAATATATTGTACTTACGCGGAGCATCTCCTCTCGTAGACGAAAGCTTAGTTTCCTTTTGTCTGACATACGCTGCGTAATTTCCCTTTTTCATATAGCAAATTTTATCGGGTAAGTCCACCGATCGAACATTCTAATAATTTATTTGCATGCCGAACAGAAAATTCCTTGTATCGGTCAACTGGAACGTGATTATAAATTTGAAGAATTTCCCATAAATACCATAAATAAATCTTTTTTTTTTTTAATTTGGGTTATCAAATCATTCTGTCCAATCACTGTCAAATTAAAAAAAAAGTGCTATATTTATATAATGAATAATTTCAAGTTGAGAACTTTTTTTCGTTTTCCGAAAATTTTTGGAATTATTTGATTTTTGTGAAAAACCTTTCATTTATATTTATAATTAAAAAACGGATATATTTCTGGATGTATTTATTTCTACATGTGCGCGATGTTCTTTTTTTTTTATTAATCTTTATTATTGTATATTAAAAGTAATAATTAATGCGACATAATCTAAGGAAATATGTTAAATAGAAAAATAAGAAATAACGAAACAGAGAACAAAACATACAAAGAAAGAGGAGGATGAGTACAGATAAAAATTGAAAGAGAAAATGTAGGAATAAAACGTAACATAAATGTGCAGAATCGAGTCTTTTGGAGGATTCACGAAGGTCTGGGACGACACACGGACAACATAGTACATCGATGATTAATCGATCTCCTTCAATTCGGCATGAGGAACGCCGCGATATTTTTCACCCCGTCGACGTTCGAACATTCTAAATTCCCATCGCGGATCGACTTCATGGCGTTTACGTAGATTAACGCGGAAGTCTCCATCACCACAAATCATTATTAGCATATTATCGGCGACACTTATCAGGGCGCCGTGCGAAGTTCCACCCTCTCAAATAAGACTCCGCTCATAAATCAGAAAGTGTCTTTCCTCGACTCGGTGATATTTCATTCGTTAACAGGTATATAATTACGTCCGCCGCGCCAAGTCCATCCCGATCAAACGTTTTTCCACTCGGCACGAAAATATACGCGTACGAATGAGACGAGAGAAGAGAGAGAGAGAGAGAGAGAGAGAGAGAGAGAGAGAGAGGGGTCCTCGCAATAAACAGTCAGCCTATAAACCGGCTGGTTTATCGACGATCAATGGTACATCTTCATGATAAATATTTGCCTAACGCTCGCGTGGCGGATTACCGTTACCTCGTGTAATTACGAGCCGTGTATTTCACGAAGTGAGTTAACGATTATACGCGGATACGTCAGCCTATCGATGCCAATCCAAAATAAAGTTCAAGTTTATTATCTTCTATCTGCGTTCGGATTGTGATAAAGTGTACGAATAAAATGTCGCTTTTACAGTATTTTATGAGCTTTTTGGAAGCGACGATACATATTCCATCGACAGAGCGACAAAAACAGGACCGTATATAAAACAGTGATGCGAAGGGAATCGATCGATCGTTCACTCCCCCCCCCCCCCCCCTCTCTCTCTCTCTCTTTCTCTCTTCCCCTGGCCCCGGAATAATTAAAAACGCGACGCTTGATCCGACGCATCTCTCGATCTGTGAACTCGCTTATGAAAAAAAAAAAAAAAAAAAAAAAAACTTAATCAATATTTATCATTAATTGCGGCGACGAATCCACGCGGATTTATTGCGCGCTTTGTGAATATATTTCATCGGTCGGCCGTCGTATATTCTGAAGGAAATTTTTCCACTTTTTTTCAGTTATCCAGCTCAATATCAGCGCAGACATAAAATGTATCATCACCGCTCGAAACGGAAGGAACGCTACCGCCATCACGCATCCGAAAATTAATCGGCGTGGGCGCAGCCGATAACGAATGGTGTTCCCGCCAAACGGCCAGTATATTTTACTTTGCTCTCCAGTGTCTGTTATTTTGTGCGCATTCTGGCTGTCCGCTTGGCACGATTTACTCGCCGGTCTCGATCAGGAATTTTCGAGTCGCACGCGCGCGCAACCGGACAAAATACCCGCGGATCCATTAAAAAATTGCTGTCGTTCGTGTTTGTTTCGATTGGTTCTCTCCCGATTAAAGGCCCCAATCGCGAATTATCTATTATCCACGGTGTAATTAATTACTGAGTTTGTTTACAGCAAAATTCAACTGTTAGTAGTAAAGCTGAAAAGACAATTTTATACTTTATACACATTTACTTACAACAATCTTTTTTTGTTATATAGTAGAAGTCCCAAGGAATTTTAGAAACATTAAAAATTCGAAAAACAATTTTTTTTATTTTTCATTAATTTAAATTCATAAAAATGGAGTTAATGTAAACTAACGCAGTTATAATTAAGTCAATCATTAAAAATTAAAAAATTTATGTTCTAAGATTTTACTTTGTATCTACTTTAAATTTTATTAGAAATAATATTTTTCAAAACGTGGCCGCAATAATGCAAATACAATTTATATAATAATAAAAAGTTCTAAATAAAATGTTTTTAATAACATTTTACATCGATTCCCGGATTTCTTTCTACTTTTAATTTTTTTTTTTTCTTAATTGATAAAATTGTAAAGGATTAATAGATATCTAATATTTAATAATAATGACAATAATAAATGTGCTGCATATTTCACATAAACCCAATGCGTTTTCTCGAAATTTTTTTGCAACTTCTAGTGTCTTCTCTCGCACCTGATGTGATTCTTCTTCCTGATACACCGTTGTTTATCCGGTTGCGACTTCAGGCGCGTCGGTAAGCTGCACACGTTTAACTCTTTCATGTTTCAATGGAATACATATGCATATGTTTCAATATATAATATTTAAAAAATTATATCTCTAATAAACATCGAGTTATTAAGATCAGTAAAAACAATTGAAATGGATTTTATTAATTCTACATTTCTTAAATTAGTATGTTAAGTATAAATATCAGTCCTTATTTATCATCTTTGATTACACTGTCCAACAAAGTCTTTTTGCAATGTAAATGAAGCATTTTCGATATATTTATGCCTGCTGAATACGAATTCGTTGGTCAAAGTCTATCACAATTTTAAGAAAAATAGTATTAAATATGACGATTTTGAAAGTTTTTATGCTTGCATTATCAGTAAATTTTTTTTCTAAATTTCATTTTTGTCACTTAAAGTAAAAGTATCAACATTTAGATTTAAAACGCATTTTATTTTGTTTCGGTATGATTTTTCGTTTTCAAGACATAGCAATTTGAAAATTTTTAAAGGCATTTTTCCATCTTAATTCTGCATTATAAGATAAGTGCTTTATAGTACTTAAATAATATAATTGGATCATAAATAAAAAAGAGAAATCAACAAAATATAATATAGCAGGAAGATTATAATATCTTCAATGATTCAAAATTGTAATCTTCTTGCCATATTTTATTTTGTCAATTTCACACATTGTACTTTTTCATTTAATACGACCTGATATACATATTATTTATATAAGTACTAATTTATATAAGTACTAAATACTTATATAAGTACTAAAGTATTTATTTTTCACATAATGTAATATTGATAAAACAAAATACTCTTTCCATGTAATTACTATTCCGAAAATAAAAAAAATCAATCTCATACAGAAATTAAACAAAATGCTGGAAACTGATAATACTTTCGAGTGATAATAAAATATCAAAAAAATTTGCTACCGACGTTATAATGTCACAAAAGCTTTTAAATTCGTCGTTTTTGTTTCTTTTTTTTGGCATAATCTTTTTCATGATTGTAATAAAAATTTGACCAACTTTTTTCTTCTATCGTTAGAAACCATCGTAATTCTTTTCGAGAACAACATCGTCTTTGCTCTGCAACTATGAACTAAACCGAAGCGGCACACCACAAAGAGCGGGTCGATGCACCAGCCGACCAAGATGAGAAGGAAGGAGGAAAAGAGAAAGAGAAAGAGGGGAAGAGAGAGAAATCCATCTGTCGCTCCAGCAACAATTCAGGATCGGCCGTCGGTGCAGACGGCAGGTGGCGTTCGTGTATCCGATGCGCGTCGCTTTCCGCCATCTTTGGACAGTGAAATCGTTGTTGAGACTTCGTGAGGAGTGTCGGGTCGACTTGTAGTGTAACGATAGTGCGGGAACGTGGTATCAAACAACAACGACAACGACGACGACGACGACAACGTGGAGGAGGCTGTCGCTCGCCAGTCGCGAGAATTGCGAGCCGTCCGGGATCGGTGTCGCGTGCTGAACGGGATTCGCGGATAATCGGGAGACGCGGAATCGAGCGTCGAGCACGGTAAGTGTCGGACTGTCGGCCCGCGCGGTGCGCCATTGCGCCCGAGTTCTTTCGCTCCTGGCTCCGTTTCTACCAGCGGAGAGGAGCGTCGCCGCGTCGCGAGTGTGTGTGTTTACATTGGGTGTGTCTAAAGTGCCTGTTGTCCACGCCGGAGTAATAAATCCGCCGTGACTTCCGGCCGGACGCTCCGACGTGCGTTATACAAGGCGTCTCAGAATTTATCAGAATTTACGGCACGCTGAATACTTTTCCGAAGACAGAGAGCGAGAGCGAGAGAGAGAGAGAGAGAGAGAGAGAGAAAGAAAAAAAGAGTGAGGCTGCTACAACATGCATGCGCTAATTCATGACAGTTTTAAACTGCCTTTGGGTCCTATTTCATTCGTGCATTTTTATCGTACGACAAATGTGTGCAGAACGGAGAGATCCTCGGATCTGTCTATCCTATAGCCATTTAAAAGACTTGAAAAATTCATCGTACAATGAATACGCACAAATGAAATAACGACCGTTTCCGACACTCGAAGAGCTATCTGCACGGAGCAAAAGATTGCGAAAAGCCTTCGCTATTTGATTCTTTCGAGAATTCTTCCGTTATTTTGAACTGTAAATCTCAACGTCTCTTGTTTCAGCCTCAAAGGCGCGCGTCAAAGAGAATTCTCCACTCGAGCTGGGATCCAGTCGATCGCCCGACACGACATGCGCGTCGGTGTCTCATACCACCACAACGTGAATTCTTTTCGTTGTTCGACAAAACCTTTAATCTCGATGCTGCGCATTCTCGACGGATAATTTTTATCTACCGTCTCTTCTCATCCTCGTCGCTCTTCTTGTCGACTGACAACGCCACGTATGTACTGTACGTACTGTACATGGTTACATACACGTACACACATGCCAATTGCCTTTCCCTTTGCCACCCCCGCGCTCTTCACCTCCCCCCTCCTACGAGACCTCGTCGATTGTCAGAAAATGATGACACATCGCATTCTCGCAGTTCTCTCGTTATGTCACGCGGCCAGCGCTCCTCCGTCCCACCCCAAATTCCGCGGGGGACCCCGCATATAATTCCCGCACGGCCGCATCCCGCAGCTACACCCGACGGGTGCAACGGCACGACGCATATTCGATCGCGGCCGGCTGTGCGAACACCCACAAGGCCTGAAGCTGTGCGACGCGAGAGCGAGATAGAGAAGGAGGGGAAAGAGAAAGAGTGAGCGAGAGAGGGGAGTGGGAGAAAGGAGGAGAGGAGAGGACCCTTCGATCGCGCCCACATTCCGTGCGGGAGCATCTTTCCCTGTCGCAGCAGGATGCACCGACCCGCCGTTCTATTGTCACGCAAGTGAACACTTTAACGAACGTATGTTGTTTTAAAGCGATTTCATTCTCTTCTCGAAGCACTCGGTAGAATATGGAACGAATGCAATTGTCCCTCACCGAGCTGGTAAACCACTCGGTCTCGAAGCATTCCAGTCTTGCATCAGACGACAGGAATGTCGCTTCGTATTTCGTCTTTTTTCACATTGTTGATGTCACTTCCTTTTTGCATAATTGGAATAGCGCGAGTAGAGAGTAGCTGCGTGACGAGGGCCTGTATTGCAGAACGGTGTATTCGTAGCATCTATAGATTTTGAGGGAGTCTTGTTTTTGTTTTTTTCAGGTACAGAGATAAGCTCTTGCCGGAATCATGAGTTACCCAATGTCAACGAATCAATCTAGACCGAGTAAGTCACGTTCATATGATACAATTTGTCGCAATGAGGACACGCATGGGACTTACGTTTGTTTGAATTACAGTGTCTCAAGGAAATTATCAGGGTCCGGGCGACTTGCCCATGGGCTCTGCCAAAGAACAGACACTTATGTGGCAGCAGAATTCCTACATGAATGACTCAGGTATCCATTCCGGCGCTGTCACTCAAGCACCATCTCTATCTGGCAAGGAAGATGAAGAGATGGAAGGGGATCAGCTGATGTTCGATCTGGATCAAGGATTTGCACAAGGTTTCACACAAGATCAAGTTGATGGTGAGACTATTGTTACCTTCGTAAATCCGATGTTATCATTGCAAAGTTGGATATTGTGTATTATTATAGAGAATGGTAGAGAATTATAGAGAATTATTATATAGGTAGAGAATTATTATAGAGAATGGTAGAGGATTATAGAGAATGACATCTTTTAGAAATGAATCAGCAACTGAGTCACACTCGATCACAGCGTGTGCGTGCTGCTATGTTTCCTGAAACATTGGAGGAAGGTGTAGAGATACCTTCCACGCAATTTGATCCCGCACAGCCCACCGCTGTACAGAGATTGGCTGAGCCGAGTCAAATGCTGAAACATGCCGTTGTCAATTTGATAAATTATCAGGACGATGCTGATCTTGCTACGCGCGCTATTCCAGAATTGATCAAATTATTGAACGATGAGGATCAGGTGGTTGTTTCTCAAGCGGCCATGATGGTACATCAATTGTCTAAGAAGGAAGCCTCTCGTCATGCTATTATGAATAGCATGCAGATGGTAGCAGCCTTAGTGCGAGCTATCTCTAATAGCGAGGATTTAGAATCGACGAAGGCTGCAGTCGGCACCTTGCACAATTTATCGCATCATCGACAAGGCTTGCTAGCTATTTTCAAGAGTGGTGGAATCCCTGCACTTGTAAAACTACTGAGTTCCCCAGTAGAGTCCGTTCTCTTTTACGCAATAACGACGCTACACAATTTATTGCTTCACCAAGACGGCTCTAAGATGGCCGTGCGCCTTGCCGGTGGTTTGCAAAAAATGGTCGCTCTACTTCAACGGAATAACGTTAAATTTTTAGCCATTGTTACCGATTGTCTGCAAATTCTTGCATATGGAAATCAGGAGAGCAAGCTAATTATTCTTGCCTCGCAAGGCCCGATAGAGCTTGTGCGCATCATGCGCTCTTACGAGTATGAGAAATTGTTGTGGACCACTTCGAGAGTATTGAAAGGTAATTTGACCCTAATTTGATAAAGATACGGCAAATAATCCCATAAAACTCTTCTGGTATCTTTGGAGATAATACCCGTCTAAAAGTCTAAAAACTGTTTATAATGAAATTTTGCATTTATTAATAGATAATTTATTTTGTTTGCAGTATTGTCTGTTTGTCCTAGTAATAAACCCGCGATTGTGGAGGCTGGTGGTATGCAGGCACTCGCCATGCATCTTGCAAATCCAAGTCAAAGATTAGTGCAGAATTGTTTGTGGACATTGCGTAATCTATCAGACGCTGGCACAAAGGTTGACGGACTCGATAACTTGTTGCAGAGTCTCGTGCTTGTGCTCGGATCAGCAGACGTGAACGTGGTTACGTGCGCTGCTGGCATTTTGTCAAACTTGACCTGTAATAATCAGCGTAACAAAGTACGTCCAATACAATTTTTTTGCAATGCTCTTATGCTCTTATCTAATTTATAGGAACCTCACATAGTCAATAATATTGTAGTACTGATAGTATTATTGATTGTGTGTTAATATTGGTAGATTAATATAGAATATTGACGGTGATCCGAATTTCTCGAACATCAATATTCTCTATCAAAATCCTCTACCACAGAACAATATTGATATTCAAGGATCAAGAAATTCGGATCAATAATATCATGATTTGTTGATACTGATTATTATTGACCATATAAGGTTCGTAATGTACATAAAACTGAAATATCATAATATTGGTCGTATAAGGTCTATATTATATTTTTTGTTTAGGTTGCAGTATGTAATTTTGGCGGTGTCGACGCTCTGGTTCGTACGATCATCAATGCCGGTGATCGGGAGGAAATAACTGAACCAGCGGTGTGCGCCTTACGTCACTTGACCTCGCGTCACGGCGAAGCGGAAATGGCACAAAATTCCGTTCGAATTAATTATGGTATTCAAGTTATAGTCAAATTACTTCACCCGCCGTCGCGTTGGCCATTGGTGAAAGCGGTTATTGGATTAATCCGCAACTTGGCTCTTTGTCCTTCTAATCACATCCCGTTACGCGACCACGGCGCAATACATCATCTTGTGAGACTCTTGATGCGTGCATTCCAGGATACTCAACGAGTGAGTATAAGTCATTATAGAAAATAAACTCGTATAATAATTTAATAATTTAATTGTATAATTTTCTACTAAGAAAATATTTAGTTATTGTTATTTATATACTATTTAAAGATAAAAAAACATTAAAAAATATTACATTATTATAGTTTTTACATAATAGAACGATGCTTTTTTTTATTTGCAGCAACGATCATCTGTTGCTAGTACCGGAAGTCAACAAACATCGGGTGCATATGCAGATGGAGTACGAATGGAAGAAATAGTAGAAGGTTCAGTAGGTGCTCTTCATATTCTTGCAAGAGAATCCAATAATAGGATGATAATTCGATCGCAGAACGTAATTCCGATTTTCGTACAAGTACGTATTGCTATTTTTACGAAAATGCTTATAACATTTACTCTTAAATTTCTTAAATTGACCTTAAATGATAGTTGAATACAAATTCTCTGCATTTATCCCCCCCATTATAATTGGATATAATTTCTTAATCTATAACCTATAAAATTTTTTTTATTAACAGAAGCATTTTTCTTTATATGATTTACTAACATGATTCTTTTTTCGTTCGCAGCTATTATTCAATGAGATTGAAAATATTCAACGTGTGGCAGCCGGTGTACTTTGCGAACTGGCAGCTGACAAAGAAGGCGCCGAAATAATAGAACAGGAGGGTGCAACCGCCCCGCTGACAGAGCTGCTACACTCCAGAAATGAGGGTGTGGCTACTTACGCAGCGGCAGTGCTATTCCGCATGAGCGAAGATAAGCCCCAAGAGTACAAAAAACGACTTTCCATGGAACTGACGAATTCCTTATTCCGTGAAGATACAAATCTGTGGAACAATGCCGACTTCAGCATGGCTCCGGATCTTCAGGTATTGTAAAGAACGGACACATTAGTGCACGTTATTTTATCTCGTGCCGTGGCGAAATAGATTTACTTGCAAACACTATGTAACATAGAAAGTTTTAATTTTATGTATTAGCTTTGCCTTTTTATAATTGACTTTTTCCAAGTACATGCCAGGAGTCAGGTTTGTAATGTTACATAAATGAATATATTGTAGTATAGAAGTATGTTAAACACTTCTAGGTGGTTACATTGTGTTCGGTAAATTGTGCCACGTTATAGTAATAGCTCTTATTTGATTATAGAGACACTTCCCTCTAATTATAAAAAAAACCAGGTATTTATACGTTATAAGATTTTCCCCGTGTAAAATTAATTCCAAACACAACTGTTTACAAACCATGTACAACATCATTTATCCAATTTGCACCACTAAATCATCTGCAGTACTCATTTGCGTACTATAGCGTTTAGTTTTCACTATCCACTATTAGTTTTTATGTTTTAGACTTTTATCATTATATTTGCGGAGAAGGCGGGTACACAATGTAAAAACTAATTTCATTTTTTAAAATTTTACATTGCTTACGAGCGAGCAGTTTTAAAATGTTTGCTTTTTTTCACGCAAAAATGCATTTTAATATATTTACATTAACTTGTAAATTAAATTTTAAGTTTTACATGCTTAAGCTTTATAACATATAGTTTATTATACCCGAGATTATATTTCTATGACATTTTTATATCAATATTTGTTCAAACGCGAGAGATTAAAGAATTCAACATGATCGTGTCTAATGCGACGAGATGCACTTACAATCTTAATCAAATTGATAATTTGATTGATGATTTGCAAGATTACAATATGCATGGGAATGCGTTTTGTTCCTTCCGCAGATATTTATTTAAAAAATTGTTTTTTTTATTTTTTTTAAATTACTTTATCATTCATGTTATTATTCGTGCAAGCCCCCGTTGGTCATTTTTTTAATTATTGTAAAACTTACCAATTATAGCGCGAATTTTGCTATATTTTGAGATGTTATGACACGCCCTCCCTTAGAAGTTATGCTTTGTGTTGACCTCAGCTACCTAATCTTCAGGACATGCTTGGCCCTGAACAAGGCTATGATGGTATGTATGGCCAAGGACCTCCTAGCGTACACAGCAGCCATGGCGGCCGGGGTTATCAACCGCAAGGTAATTTATATGTTAGCCATTTTATTCATCGAATGCTGCTTCTGAATCAATCGACTTATCCGATCAAGGGTAGACGGAGCTATAAATGGTCATAAAAAACAAATCTTATGTATAAAATGTGTTTTTGTATATAATCATCGTCATGACAAATTGCATTTGACGTATAATGACGGAATGACTGTATACGCGATAATGCCACTTCACGAACCAATTCTGTCTTGCATTATAAATACGAGGAAATTTACTACTTTCTTTGACATCACTTCTGATATGAAATAACGCATTTAATCGTATGTTATTTTAACAGCAGCTTAACCCACTGGACTTAAATTAAAATACAGGCTATCAACAGTTTCTCGCAGTAACATAGGTGACATTTGGTCTTCATGTATTTTTCTGGTTTTCGTTATCTGTTTGATGTCTAATTAATTATCAATTTTAACTGCATGTTCAATGTTACATGTAGAAATTTAAGATTTGTCGAGCACGCTTATTACTATTAAATATATTCCTCAAAAGAATCTGATAACTTAATTTTCATAACAGTGAATATGAGAACTCATTACGTGTGTAAATGGTCTTTATTAAAACTAAGAAAAATACTCAGCTATAATCTTATTTACATTATTTAACATTATTTTTTCTACAAACATATTTTCTTAATTATGTACACTTATCAATTTTATAAATAATGGCATAATAATAAAATATATCTTAATTATTTACATAAATTTAGAATTAAAAAAGACCTTAAGAGATAAAGTATTTAATTTTACATTTCTTGATCTTATCTAATTTATAATTATCTCATTACCTCATTTACAATTATGGATGCATCGTTTAACATATATGTAGAACACTGTTTTCAAATTATTTCACCTACGCATGCTTACATTGTTTTGTATGCAAATACTCTTCTCTTATTATTTATTTCTGCTATAATACGCACTTTATGATGATGGAGTCGTATAGAAGGATGATGTTTGTAAGTAACTAAATAAAAAAGAATTCCTACATTTATTCTCCAAGAGAAAATATTATAAATATTTATCAATTTCTTGAAAATTAATTGAAAATATTCAATACTTTTTTATAATTGTCTTATACACGCACGGTGGTATGTGAAATATCGAGCTTCAATATTACGTGACTTATTGTATAACTTAATTTTAGTAATTTTATTAAGAAAAAGAATTTTTTAATTTGTACATGTTTGTTCTCTACATATCTATTTGTAATTATTTAGTATTATCAGAAAGTACTTTTTTTGTCATTAAATAATTTGTTTGATACAACTAGACAAAGATTTATAAATGAAAAATTATCATAAATTAAATTAAGTAAATATAAATTAAATTAAGTAATCATTAAATATAATTTTCATTACATAATTACAAAATAATCATATAAGATATATAAATTGATTAAACGATAATTAGTAGAAAATATGTAAAATTTTAAAGACATACAGCAAACTCTATCTCGTAAAACTAAACTTCAAAATACTTTGCTACTTATGCTTCACTGATTAATGAAATTCCTGCACTTCGCGTGCAGTGTGTAATTTTTATCGATGTAATTGCCGGATAAAGAACAAGTGAATTTTTTTATAAAAAATAATATTTCTTACAACAGGTTATGACCAGATACCAGTAGATTCGATGCAAGGGTTAGAGATAGGTGGTGGATCGACATATGGCGCAATGGACACTATGGACGTGGCGCATGATGGTGACTTGAGTTTCGATCACTTGGAAGAGCTTCCTGCACCGCCGCAAGATAACAACCAGGTCGCAGCCTGGTACGACACCGATCTCTGAATCCGTGCCATTTTCGATCTCATGAGACAGCAAGGGAATTCAAAAAGCAGGAACATTATTTTAAAGTATTAAAGCGAACTTTCATAGTAGAGTCTCGATTATCCGAGCACTACGATTGAATGTCCGCATTCTAGACTCAAGAATCAGAACCAATTGTCCCGATCTTTCCTAATAGTTTCTCATTTTTATTTTCATGACGCATGTGTACAATGAAAATGTGTCCCTATTGTCCCTCTTTTTTTATTTTACTTTTTTAAATCATTTTCTTGCCGACTTATTATCGGCAACCAAACCGAGCGTCGATTGTTGTTGAGTGAATGACGTGCCAAGTGATCACGCAATGCTTGGTATCCCGATTCATGATACAGATGACTGTCTTTGAATAGTGTACTTTAAGATTTACGAACGATATCCTATCTTAATAATTAAATGACGCTCGGAAAATCGGGACTCATGTTCGACATAAAATAATACCGATTAATGGCTATCGTGTCTCGTCTATCGGTCCGCGAGAAGTCACTCTCGAATATAAAAAATCGGTTAGTCGCGCTATAGTTGACATCTTCCTATAGTCTACGTTCGTTTTGTCAGACGGAAAATGAAACATTCGCGCTAATCCATATCGACCCAAAAAAATATATCGCCTGTATGTAATCGCCTAATATGATCATTCACCCGAACATATAAACATTATATCGATGTATTAGAATTAAGGAAGACACATGTAATTCGTACACACATGTATATGTATCGTTTAATTGTCTATACAAATAAACAACAATTAAGCGACCAATGCTTTGCTTCTGTTTTTATAATAGAAACCAAATTGTGCTAACTGTGGAAATATGATATTACAATCAGTTTTGTAAAAGTAATTACAGTACAATTGTCTAAAATGAATTTTACAAATCTCTATTATTTTTTTCACTAGATTGAATTTAGGTAATAATTACATAACTTCATATAAATATAAATTTCTTAACGTATAAATCTAAATAAATTATAACTAATTTAGACACAAGTAAAATTAATCTATTTTTCAAGGGAGCATCGAAATAGTTTGTAAATTAAAATATTAATGAATATTTCGTAAATGACGGGATATTCGAATACAGTCATCGGTCATATATCGATATTGAGGATCGTTCACTTTGTTAATATGCTATAGGAAAATAATTTTAGCGAGACTTTCACTTACCAGTCTCGGCAGGAGCGTTTACTATGTCTCGAGATAAGACGTTACGCGACGTCGACACGCACAATTTGTCGCAAGAACGTCTTCGTTTTCTTTTCGTTTCTCTTCTCTTCTGGTCGGAGAAGGGCTTCACATACGGCACCGTCGCTTGGGTCATCAATCGTTGGTCGACTCTCGCACGGCGTTATATACCACGGTCGCTTCGAAGACTCGCGTATCCCGCGTTAACGGTTGTTTCTTAATGCGACACGAGGAAAGGAGGCTTGTCCCTCGAGCCGTGTTTCTTCGAGTACGGAAGGCGCGTTAAGAATCAGTCTGCTCGTCGAAGCGGCCACTTCCGGACAGCTGTCGGCCGAGGGTAGTTCTGTTCTCCGAGTAAAAACAGCGTTTTGCATGATGAAGAGACCAATCGACGTAAATTTTCTTGGATAGAGTGACCGACTTTTGTAAAAGTTTTAATTTTTGAAGAATAAGAACTGCGATTGATGCGTGGAGGAAGGTGATTCTACTGGAGAAATTAAGTCTCCGTCTCGGTAAAGGTGAGTCTGTTATTTGTTATCGTGATATCTTTTATGTTCTCTTAGCCTCTTTTAACTGGTTTTTCCACATTCTTTATCAGTATATTTTCGTGATTTAAAATACGGTAGGATTCAGCTTAAAATCTTCGATATTTTATAATGCGCGGTAATAATATTCAGAATTGCGAATAACGCGAATGTCAATCTTTTATCGAAAATATCTTTCACTTTAGCGATCAATATACTTTTGAAATATTTTTATATGTCAAGGAATATAATTACTGTGTATTACTAATTATATAATTTTAGAAATATTAATTCTATAATAAATAATAAATTACACACCCAATTATAGAACTTAATATATATATTACTACTCTATATAATAATTAATTCATACATTATTAATCAATTGCAGTTAGAATAATATCAATAGCTGCATGATAATTTGACACATTAAATAATAAAAATTGCAATACAAATTGTGAATGTGTGAACGAAAAATTTGTAAAAAAATTATTCTAAGACGTTCCGTAAATTATGATAACATTCAATATCAATCTGCCGATAAGAATCGATTATGTGCAGATTTTTGTGCATGAAGTATATATTGTTCAAAGAATAAAATTTTATAACGGTAAAGTGTAATCTTCATTGCTGAATTCCTACCTAAGTATGGTTTATCATGATTTCTATTTGAGTCTTGAATATACCGTATTTGCGTTTCATTAGAGATGCACGGATTACCGTTGCTTTCATAATAGAGTCAGAGTAATCGGCAGATATGTTTAAACGTGAAATTGAATCGATATAGAAACATCAAACAAATGATTCTATCTACATGTAAATTCTTTCTCTAAAATATTATCGACTAATATTGCCTAATAAAAATCATTATACACGTAAATATGATATGTTACGCATGTGAGTGATTTATATTTAAAAAACTTAATGGTTAGATAAAATATAATATATTTAAGATAAAATTTCATATCCTCATCTATGACATTAGCTTTATTATTTTTGACATATATTTTGATATATATATATATGTTTTAAAAAAAAATATATATATATATATTATATGATTTTTGAAATCGTACATGATTTTTTGTATATACGCATAAAATTATAAACAATAATCTTTCTCAAATTTTGTTACGAATTATAGATTATTATAAGCTTTACTGTCCATTTCATAATATTAATCTATTGATATTATCGAACAATATGTAATGATATATAAATAATGTAATTGAGAAAGTAAAAAAAATATTTTATGCCTTTTTGATATACTAATTTAATCTGCTTCACAGATGGAATGGTGGAAAACATGCATATTAATTTCATTACATTAATTCTAAAACCTGTCTCGTTACCCTTGAAATAAAATAACTGACACGAATATGTAAGTGTCTTTGCTTAATGTAGTGTATCAAAAAGTTTCTTTCTGTGCAACAAGGCTCGTTCTCTTTCCAAGCAAAGCAAGTGCTTCTAAGACATTTTTCATATTAAAATGGGTCATTATATTGAAGATAGAAGTACTGATTGTGTATTTATAATTAATAATTGATTTTATATGTATATGCTAATAAATAAGATTTAGTAAAATATTCGGAAAAAATAAACTTGAAGACGAGATACATATCTCTTACACATGCGATAATATTGAAGGAACTAATTTCATTTTTAATCTCATTAAGAGATCTGAATAGTATCTTGTTTAAATACTCGTATCTGCATATGTGTGTCTACCAGGGCATCGATAATAATAACGTGAAAGTGCATCCACTACGACGTCACTCCAGAACAATTCTATGTCGTGCTCGATTTGAGATATTGTGGAAGTAAATTACCGTAAACTTTACGTCTGATCAAAAAATTCATTTTACTTGCGACATCGTGGTTGTCTCTTTAAATAGTTTAAATGTCTCAGGCACCTGCACAAGATTTGCCGTTATGCTTTTCCGACACATCGAACAGTGCGTATTGTCGCTTGTAATATCCACAGTGTAATTAGCAGCAAAGTGCAAAGTCACACAAAAGATAGCGGGAAGACGAGTAGAAAAAGGAAAATAGTACAAAAGAAGATATAACAGATCTTAACATAAGCAAGAAAATAAATAGCGAGAGTTCGAAAAGAGACAAATATAATGAAAGATATTTAAGTTTATAAATACATAGAAAATCAAAGAAAAAGAAACGGGACTAAACGCAATCAAAATGAGAGAATGCAGAACTCAGATGTATATAGGAAAGAATAAAGAAAAATCAAAGAAAGACCAGCAAAATGGGAAATTAAAGGGAAGTTAAAAGAGAATAAGAAGAGGCAAGATTAAGAAGAAGCGAAAGAGAGACGTCCTTGCTGCGGACTCCGGATCAGTCTATAACTGTGCACTATCGTGCGCACGGACGTCCGTGGAGAACTGTTAATGACGTGAAAGTGCATCCACAAGGAGCGAGGAAGCAGGCAGATAAACAGACCGCCATTCTCCTGATAGTCTCGCCTCGTCTAGGACAATCCCCTGGATTGTAGCCGGTTGGCTTGGAGAAATTGTCTGCATCGCCTCATCAAGGTGATGAACGTCAAGTTTAGTCTATCTCGAATGCGTTTTCGCCATAGCTGCCAAGCGTTCGTTTTTTCTAATATATATGTTCGAAGATGATCTTCGAACAATTTTCATTGAGATCATATCGAGTGATGCGTAGTGAATTGTAAATTTCGTAAAGGTACCTAAATGATAGTCGCCATGTAGGTAAAAATTTCCATTTCATAACGTATTTAAAATATCATTACATAAGGCATTTAAAATATTTAAATATTTAAAACAATGCAAATAGTTATACTGCTCTATGTAAATATACCTCAATAATAGATAGCAATCGGCAAACTTTGAATAAATTAATTTTGATAAGACGAAAAGTGGGAAGCTAATTCTTAAGTTATGTGCATATCGCAAAATAAAACTGTCGATGTATAGAAAAAACATTTATTATTTTAATATTGCATTACCTGGAAATGCTTCTTACATAATACAATCGAATCACACAAAGTAAAAAATTGACAAAATATGAATTAACAAAATATAATATGGCAAAGATTATAAAATAAAGATTTTTTTCGATGACACAAGTCTTGCCTGCACGTCGTTCCAATATTTGCCATAATGAGACTATTCAGTTTGCATTTCCTTCTCAACGGTAGAGTTTTTTTATGAGGCTGAGATATATTCTTTCAGCATGAATTGATTACACAATTGATTACGATAAAATTTTTAAAAATTTATCAATTTTATTAGAACAATAAATTGTAAGATTTCTAACTATCAACTGACTATCAATAGTGCAACGATTTCGCTTTTATTAGATAATGATAAGAAATGATAATACACAAATGATAATATATTTTTGAAACATAAAAAGTATTATCATTTCTGTTTTACTTTTTTAAACATAAAAAGTAAAACATAAATTAAAATATGAAGTTATAAGATTATTGGAACCTATCGATTCTTATCATTTTCTATCTTATTTTTTTTTTTAGACAAGATTGACGCATTAAATTAGAATATTATATCCGAATTGAAAATGATATTGTAGCAAAATATCAAATAAGGTTAGCTTTGAAAATATGAAATGCAAATAATTAAACGAAATCTGTAAAATAAGATTTTGTAAATTTATAAAAAGAGATAAACTCAATATAAAATATCCAATATATAATAACATATCAAGAATGCATGAAACATATTTTTGGACTTTTAGAGAAACAAGTAGGGACAATTACTAAAATAAATGTTGATGACGATAATACAAAAGGTTCTGATCGTCTCACGAAAAAGCTGGAATGATTACTCTCACATTTCTAACTATTTCCTTTTTCTTCATTTGTCTTAAGCAACAGCTTATTCCGAGGCAACATGTCTTCCCTCGCTGAAACTTAAAACTTAAAACTTAAAATATTTCAATACTATTGTATTTTGTCAGACAGTAGCCGAATGATCAAGCTGACCACAATTTAAACAATGTTGTCAGGATTAATAAAGACCAAGCCTTGATCTTTATGTTCCAGACGCTGCTTACTGCGACTATCTCGTCCGGACACTGAAACAGATTCATCGTCTTCATCTTGCAACGACATCTTCTCTAAACAGCAACATATTTTTTGTGAGCGAGTAGCCATATCAATCAAAGCTTGTCGAAGCAACTCAATTTCTCTTCGAGCTAACATTAACTCTCGCTCAGCAAGTTCTTTTTCCCTTCGATACAATTCAGTCTCTCTCCATAACATATGTACATCAACAAATTTTGTTGGATTTATCTCCTCTGTGACACCCGCCATTTTGGTACCTTCAAATTGATTGATATCGGTAAAGTTTCTTGTCGAGTTCGTCATCTCTGCAGCACTCGCTACAGTTTTGGCCTTTCCAAATTGAAATGTTTCTATATATCCTTTCGAAATATCACCAACAAAGTTTCTTACTGCCGCGTTCGTCTTCTTTGTGGCATTCGCTACCGCTTTGGCCTCTACAAACCGAATCATATTTACATCAGTAGAATTTCTTACCGTCGCGTTCATCGATTCTATAGCACCCGCTGTCATTTTTGTCTCTCCAAATCGAATTATATTTACATCGGTAAAATTACCTGCCGTGTTCGTTGCTTCTATGGCATCTGCTGCTGTTTTGGTGTCTTCAAATCGAATCACATTCATATTCGTAGAGCTGTTTGCTGTTACATATGTCGTTTCAGCAGCATTCGCTGTCATTTTAATGTCTCCAAATTGAAACATATTCATATTAACAGAAGTTTTTGTTTCCGCGTTCGTCACATCTGTGGTACTCGCTACCGTTTTATCTTCAACAAACCGAATTATTTATATTAGAACAATTTCTAACGCAGGGTCTATAATAGCGGTCGTAGGGTCGTTGAAATTTAATTAATCACAGTCACAAATACGAGAAGAATAATCGACTATGATTGATCAATTTTCTACGACTTAGATTTTCCTACGATCGCTATAACTTCTATATTGTAAACCCCCCCCCCCAAATCAAGGCTCTTCTATATAAAAATCATAGACAATTGTAGGATCTTAAGTCGTAGGAAATTAATCAATCACAGTCAAATATAAGAATATGCGACTAAAATTGATTTCTTACGATTTGAGACCTTACGACTGTCTATGATTTTTATGTGGATGAGCCTTTACTGTCGCATTCATCAATCCTGCAACACTATCATTTCTGTCTCTGCAAATCGAATTATATTTACACCTCCTGATGCAAAGTCTGCGGAGACAGATTTTGAGCAGGACTTGCTATCAATTTTTGATTACAAAAAGACAAAGTTTATTATCTGACATTGTCAGCAAATTGCTATCATAAAAAATATGAGTCTGCAAGATTAGTAGTGGAAACCGAACAAAGTTCTGCATAACCTGACGGCAAATTGAGAGCAGAATTTGATTCGAGCAAACTCTGCTTGATTTCTGCCACCAATCTGCAGGCTTTGTCAACAAATAACCAAATGCGGACACAAATGTGGCTATGATTTTGTAATCAAAATCTGATCGAGTTTACTGTCAATTTAACTCCAAATTACTAATATTTTGCTATCAGGAGATCGATAGAGTTACCTGATGTTGTATTCGTTCCTTCTGTGGTACCTTCTGTCGTTTCTCGAAATATATTCATATTGGTAGAGTTTCTTGCTGCCTTCTCGCTATCTGTCTAGGATATCAAAATAAAGATCGTACTTTAATGCTATTATCTTCGGAGCTTTGTTGCCGCGTTTTTCACCTCTGTGACACTCGCTGTACTGTTTTGATCTCTACATACCGAATCATATTTACATCAGTAGTTTCTTATGTGGATTCTACAATGGCTACACAGAACGTTTATTTTGCGGAAGTTTTCTTCGCGCTGATTCGGTTATACTTTTAGATTAAGAGGAATAGTCCTATCTCAGCAGAGAATCATAAAACGATTGCAACAGCCAATGAGCCGGTAATCCTGAGAGCCTCTTTCCCCACCACACGTTACTTAGAATGCATTCGGAGAGACACTATCAGTACTATTTGTGTCATTCTATTTTCATTGTTTATTAGACGTAAAACAAAGATAGGTGACACAAATAGCGCTGATAGCGCGATTCTCAAATGCAACCCTAGTGGTAGCGCAAACCGGAAACTGACGTCACATCACCGATAAGAGGAGTCCTGAGTCTCGGTAAAGTCGACCAATAGTTAGCCAACTTCACTATTTAGATTAAGATTAAAGATCTGTTTTCTATAGCTGAACTAGTGTATATACACTTTTGGAATTTAAAGTGAGATAGGTGTATGTTTGATATTTGTCGAAAACGAGAAAGAGTTCTAAATACAGTTTGATGCAGGAACGGAAATAGATGACCTGACTTCCGACTACAGACTAGTACAGACACATTGCAGAATCAGCATTACTGTTGCATTCATCGATTCTTCGATACTCACTGTCATTTTTATGTATCTCTGTAAATCGACGCCTGAGCCATAGGAGATGCTATATCGAGAAAAACATGGAGAAAGGTTTATGTCAAGAAATGAATGAAAAGCAATCTATTTCGCATAAGGCATGAAGATCGGTCAATGTCGGGACGCATACGAAGTACGCTTTATATCGAGTAAATGAGAAGAACGGTTCGAGCCGGTTCAAGTCGCATGAAATTAAAGAAGAGATTATATAGCGCAATATATTTTCTTCTCTCTAAATTTTATAGTGATATAACTGAGAACGGAAATCATCTTGATTTTCAATCCTGTTTCTCGCACTCATTTATTCATATATTATTTAATTTTCCGTAACTAAATTCATGTAATTTATGAATAGTGAATATTGCGCTATGTAGACCCTTCTAATTGTATGCGACTTGAACCGTTCTTCTTATTTTCTCGATATAAACCATACTTCGTATGCATTTCCGATATAAATTTCACGCTTCACGCGAAATAGACTTTTCATTTATTTCTTGACAGAGACCTTTCTTCATGTTTTTTTTATATAGCACTTTTTACGCCTCGGGCGTGGAAATTGAGTTATATTTACATCGGTAGAATTACCTGTTGTGTTCATTGCTTCTGTAATACCTGCCGTTTTGGTGTCTTCAAATCGAATCACATTCATAGAACTTCTTGCTGCCGTGTTCGTCGCCTCTGCGTTCACTACCGTTTTGGCCTCTACAAACCGAACTACTTTTATCATAGAGTTTCTTAAAATAAAGTCCCATGAGGCGTATTTGCCTTACGCGTATCGCGTAACTGCATAACTCGTTATAACGCTAATACGTTAGTAATCGTAATAACGAGATTGATTGCACTCGCGTATTGTGACTTTTGCGCACCGAACGCAGAAGTGTTTATCGTTCGCCATGCAGTATGATTATATGATATGTTATATACTGATAACACAAAGGCATATATCAGAATGGTTGCGTATGCATTATTCTTACACATATTTTTTCTGATTTCTGCGATGTAAATCTTCACGCGTAATATCCCGACGTAAATATCGGAGTTACCTCATATCAAGAATTGATACGATATGAATCATAGACGAAGGATTGATAAGGATCTATCTAGATAAATTTATATAATTGCATAAAAAAAATTATCTAATCACATTTTACGTACGTTCTTATAATAAAGATATGCTTAAATAATTTTTTTTATGTATATAGTTACGCAGTGTTATATATTATATGCAAATTTATCTAAGGCAGTTGGAATTAATTAATAAGGCAGTAATTACAAATTAAATATTAATGCTGAATATCTGTTTAAAACACCGTAAAATGTTACAGTATTTTAAAAAGATGCTTACTGGCATCACTCAGTCAGAAACAATTCCTCGAAATGACGTCTTTTCGAAGAACTGTTTCCCACTGCAACAATATCTAATTTGCGATATTACTATTATAGTTTTAATTAAAAACTGTTTTAAGATCGAAAATATTAGCGTAGAAAATATTTGCAGAATTAGAAAATGTATATAAATTCAAGCAGAAGTATTATTAAAAAGCACAAATATTTATATTAACTCTGATCGAAGTTTATTTTTACTTATTATTAATGAAAACTATGAACAGTATTTTCTTTTAAATTAAAAAAGCTGCGCATCACTGGCCTGCATATGCATATACATACATTCATTAATGTACGTTATTAAATTTTTCATTCATATAAGTATATATATATATATATATATATATATATATATATATGTGTGTGTAACGTTTCTATAGAAAAATTCTTTATAAACATATAAAGTAATAGTATTAGAATAAAATGCTGTTCCATTATAAATGTTATTTTAGAAATTGTAATAGTGTTTGTTAATTTTATATAAAATCAATTTATTACAATACTTACAAAAATAAACAAGCTACACGTTGAGCATCACTACTTTAGGCTATAACAAAAAAATTATGTAAATATATATAATTATAATATAAATGTATATGCTTATTTTTTATTTGTGGCACAGTTACGTACCAGAATATTTCATCAGCGTTTTAAAATGGATGTAGCCTAATTCTATTTTACATAAGGAAAATGAAATCCTCGTTGATTGCAGTACCGCGGAAGTTTCAATTTGGATGGTTCTGCGAATAGCGTCAGGACGGCCACTTTCAGGCTTCTCCCTAGCATAAATATTTTTTCTTTTTTCATTTTTTTTATACCATTCGAAGGCGACATGCTCCCTCTCGCTATATTAAAATGATATTATACTTAACATTCTTGTATTTAAATTGAGAGCGAGTGTGGCAGAATAGACAGTGCACTAGTCTGCTATGCCAGAGATCCTGGCAAAATCAAAATACAATACAATTTTCATACACTCGTTCTCCTCTCGGAAAGAGAAGTGGCAACTCACCGAGAGAGAGAGAGAGAGAGAGAGAGAGAGAGAGAGAGAGAGAGAATCCTTGCCAAGAATATTTCTCTAAACAAAAACTTCGTTCATTCGAGGTTAAACTCAGGTCTCATGACCTACAACTGTAGGTCTCATGACATGTATGAACTGTGTGTACAATCAGCGTGCGCACAGGTAAGTATATGATATGAGAGAAGTCACTACGCTCGAACACGAGCAAACAGGACTAAAGAGAGATCTTTGTACATCGTCTGACAGTTAACTTCTGAATGACCACAATTAAAACAACAGCTCAGCGTTTTTGGTTGATGTCTCTCCCATTTCTCGTTCATAGGTATTAACCAACAAATGAAATGAGAAGGGAGATCACCCAAAAATGTTGAGCCGTTGTTTTGCGGTCATTCAAGAGCTACTGTCAGACGAAGTACCGAGATCAGCATCACTACTATGTCGATCTTTCAACGGTTTATGTAAATAGCAGCTTTTCTCTTGTGTACAGGCATCCATATTTACTTGGACTTGCTGAATCTTCTCGAGTTCTTTTTTAGTCAATGCCAATTCCTAGCTCAGCAAGCTCTTTTTTTTCCAATTTAATTTATCCTCTCTGAATGATACTCATATTGATAGAATATCTTATTGTTGCCATTACGAAAAATTATCTGTTGCTTGCTTTCTTTCTTTTTCACTTAATATAGCATTTGATTTTTTTATTGTCTGATATTGTTGATCTGCTTGCAATCATCTTATCAAGTCTTCCTTCAATCCAATAGTTGGAAGTTTCTTAAATTTCAGTATTACTCTTAATTCTAACGTAGTATAATCACTCAACTCTCTCATTTTGAATCTACTTCTTCCTTTCTTTCTCTCACTCTCACTCTCTTTCTCTCTCTTTATTTCCATAGTCACTAGTCACAGAAATAATGATGTGGCATTGTTCACACCACGATCGAACAGCCAAATTCTTTTCAAACTCGTCTCATTTCCGATTCCGCGTAGTCTCAAATTATAAAAATTTCTTCCTTTTAATCTTACTTTAATTATAATATTATATAAAATCGAAAGCCCTCTCAATTCGCGATACATCACCATCATAGTCACCATCTCAATGTCATTACCGCGTGTTTATAGATATCGGTCTGATAATCAACTTAGTTAGTTCCCTAATACATCAACAATCTCGCTCGCGTATTGTTTTGAGAGTAAGGCGCGAAATCTAAATCTCTACAGTATTGTAGGGCATTAAAATATCTAATTATAATTCGTGCACAGTGTAATCCTTTTGATGACTCGCGTCTCTCTTGACGACTTGCCTCGACAACGATTCACGAATTTCTCCATCAATTTATTAATTTAATTTACAATAATTTTGTTAACATTAACAATAAAAGACTGTAATCGTAACACAATATTTATGTAACATAAAGGTGTATAACAGGGATTGCGTGCAAATTACTTTACGTCTTTTTATTTTTTTCTAACTTCTGCAGCATAAATTCCGAAATTACCTTAATTAGCAGAGAAGTTAACAAAGCCACGGAAAAGACGCGGGAAACGACAAGTGATCACAGATAAAAAAGAAAGATAGCATAAAAGACATAACAGTTTTTAAAAAAATTTTTTTTTAAAAAAAAGCAAGAAAATAAATGGCGAGAGTTGAAAGAGACATAAGTATAAAGACTGAAAGACAATTAAACCTATAAATAGGAAGCAAAAGAAAGAGTAACGGGACTAAAATAAAAGGTTGCAGAATTCGTATACAGAAAGAAATAGTAAAAAAACCAAAGAGAGAATAATGTCGGAAGTTAACGGGAGGTGCAAACGGAAACAGGAAGACAGGAAAGAATAGGGAGGACCAAAAAGAGACAGGAAGAAACGTCCTTGCTTCGGATTAGTCCGTATTGCCCGTAATTGTGCCACGGTGCACCCGTGGAGAACCAGTAATGACGTGAAAGTGCATCTACGAGAAGCGAGGAGACAGGCAGGCAGGTAGGCCGCCGTTCTCCTGGCAGTCTTGCTACGTCCAGGACAATCCCCTGGATCGTGGTGGATTGGGCCGGCTTGGAGAAATTGTCTGCTTCTCGACGATCGAAGTGTTCGCCTGACCGAGGTGGCGAACGTCTCGTTCGTAGCGCGGTTGCTCAGTCACCTTCTTTTCTCGAGTGCGTTTTCGCTACAGTTGTCAAGCATTTCTTTTTCTTTTCTCTGATACTCGTGTTCGAGGGTGGACTATTTTCAGTGAGGTGATTTCGATAGAATCTTTTTTCTTTTTTTTTTTTGTGAAAAACGTGGTTAGTTGGAAACGGAGTCAATTTCACTTGCACGTTCAACAATTTAGGTACGACATAAATGGAACAGAAATCGATTTATTGTATTCTGAATGTTTACCATTTGTCAATTAATATTATTTATATTAATGCGATTGTTGATATATATATATATATATACGATATGACTCGATTGTTGATATATTTACACGAGAAACTATAAAAATTACAATGTATATGTGAATTACGTGTAAAAGCAGTCTTTTAATTATGGAAAGATTATTAAAACTGAAATGAATGTCAGCGAGAATAAGATTAATGGAATTGTATTTCTTTCAAGATCGTTCACAGATTTTATAAGATAAATCTAGTATATATTAAGCTTTAAACCGTTACACACACATTACATTTGCTAATTCTAGTGAGGATGTTTTATGCATGAAGCTATATCACCATATGTGACTTGAGCAATTCCTTATTTATTAATTATATTTTCCGACATGGATTTTGGATCACGAATGGGATAAAGTAATTCTTAGATTTTTTATCACTGATTATGAATTCGTAAATGAAATTGAAAATATCACATTTTTGAGAGTTCAAAAATATTTAAAAAACGCTATTTTTGGCATTTTTAGATTCAATTTTTTCAAAAATGCAACGTGATAGAGCAATTGCGAGCAATTTACGAATTTATTTTCAACAATAAAGAATTTGTAAGAATCTTTGTCTTATTTATGATCTAGAAAAGAAGTTCAAATTTGTTGAACATTGTTATTGGATTGTGTAATTATTTGACGATATATTAAATCACGATTTTTATTTAATAGCTTCTGTTTTTAGAAATTAAAATTAGTCATATTTTGTTTTTTTTCTTTTATAATAGAAATTACTTAAACATATTTCA